GAGGCCAGCACAGCTGGAGGAGCCATGAGAGAAGCCCCCAGGGCTGCCCTGCCCGGCCCCATCCCCTGCCCGGCCCAGCCTGCCATCACTTTAAAAAAAAAAAACCTGCACTCACCAGCTCTGGCAGGAGCGGTCAGGGCCTCTGGGAGTTCATGGCAGAGTCCCCCCACACACAGCTTGGGGCAGTGGAGGGCAGCAGGGTTTGCCCCCTCCACTTGGCACCTGCACAGCAGCTGTCGCATGGTGTGGGTGCAGCATGGCTCAGTAGGGCACTGTGCACTGTCTGAGAGCTAGGGTGCTCCAGTAGCAAGCTGGGGTGGCTCCAGCAGTCAACTGGAACCTGGCACCACTCAGCCCTAGCGGCCCCAGCTCCCAGTGCTCTTGAGCTGCGTTGCACCCGTGCCACATGACAGCTGCCGGACGAGTGCCAGGGCAGGGGCAATCTCCACTGCCCCCACTGCCCTGTGCTGTACAGGGGGCTCTTCCATGAGCCCTCAGAAACCCCAGTCGCTGCTGCCACTGCCAGTGAGTGCGGGGCTTTTTTTCTTTTTCTTTTTTTAAAGTGCTGAGAGGCTGGGGCCAGGTGGGGGATGGGGCCGGGCAGGGCAGCCATGGGGGCTTCTCCCATGATTCTCCCCAACTGATCTGAATCTCTGAATCAGCACCGAATCTCTGATTCTGATTCAGCCAAATCAAATGGGGACATTGATTCGAATCACCGAATCGAATCACTGTCCTCTGAATCAGCCAAATCCAAATCTGAATCAAATACTTCCCTATTCATACAGGCCAATAAATAACATGTAGCAATTTTGTACTGCTCCTGCTTAATAGACCCATTTCTTACTCATTTGCTAGTGCCAGACCAGGAATTTGCAAGTGTGTAGAGCAGTGCTTCCCAAATTAGTACGACCCCATTTTAATACTTGACCCCACTTAACACACCGGTATGACCTGATTTTAACACTTGAAAATTCACAGGACCCCAGATGCCAATGAATACAAAACAGCAATAAAGCAGCATAACAACATTCTCTATATAATTATTAAAGTTTGAGTATTACAGAACAACATATAATACAGCATGTAATATGAAAATCTATATTTTTAAGTACTTTTGTAAAGTAATTTTGTGACGGGGTATGGCTGTGTGTGTAGGGGGAATAGGGTATATTGGAGAGTCTATATGTGAAGTGGTTGTGGGGGCCGGGTGTGGGGGGTTTGTGAGGTGTGAGAGAGGGTATGGGGGTGGGAACCGTCCCCCTCCCTCCCAACGCACCAAGCCCCTGCCACCAGCAGGCAGCAAGTGCTCGGGGTACTTATGCTGCTGCCTGGCAGTACATGGCTCCAGCCAATGCTGTACATGGTGGCAAGGAGCACAGCCAGGCCGGCTTGCCTCTATCGCACAAGGCTCCACACCACCAAGGGAAGCCACACATGATGGAGTCAGTTGCCTTCCCCGCCCCTTGCCATGCAGGTCCCAGGACTCTGCTGGGAAGCAGGGAGTGAGGCTCCCATCCACTCTGTGGCAGAGTCCCAGGACCTGCACTGCAGGGAGCGAAGAAGGCAGCTGGCTCCATCATGCGGGGCTTCCCCCAGTAGCATGGAGCTGCACATACGCCTCATGGAGCCCCCTATGATGAGGTGGGCCAGCGTCGCTGCACTCCTTGCCACCAGGTGCTGTGTGGCTAGAGTCACGCACCACCAGGTAGCAGCACCTGCATGGGCCACAAATGCCCCAAGTGCCTGCTGCTGCTGCTGCTGCTGCTGCTGCTCCTGCTGGTGGCAGGGGCTTCATGTCATGGAGGGGAGTATGTGTGTGGGGGAGTTCCCACACCCTCTCACCCTCCCTCATACCCACACCATGCCCACCTGAGGTCACAAGGTCCCACCCTCCCCCTGGGTGCAGGCTCCATGCTGCCTCCAACCCCAGCCCCATGATTTGTGCTTCTGTCCAGCTGCAGCACCCCCTCCCCCCATGCCCGCTGCTTCCGTACTTGATGCCCAGAGCGAGCGGGATGCTGGAGAAGCTGAGTGGGTCCCCCAGCAACTGCAGCAATGGCAGCAACAACCCTGCCTGGAAGTTGCGTGCTGGCTGGGCCAAGACCTTCCACACACCAGGGTGGGAGCGAAGCACATGGGCTGGGTGGGGTACAACTAGTTGGTGGGCACCTGTGAGCCAGATGAAAGTGCCTAGCCAGCCATATTTTGCCTGCTCTGGATTAAACTGATTTTATTTCTCATGACCCTATCTGTTTCTGTGGTGCCATTTGGGGTCACAACCCACAGTTTGAGAACCACTGGTTTAGAGGCCACTTTAGAAATGCTTCTGTATCATTGTCATTCATTAGAATCAAGCCTTTTCATGAGTTGTGAATTACCAGTAACTATTGGAAGTCCTGCTTTCAAAACACTGATCACTATTCAGTAATAGAGCAGTCCCCACCTATACTATAAGCAGGGGAAACAACTCAAGTGGTGGAATCTTCCTCTTGCCTGGCAGAGGTTGCAAGTTCAACAACAGTCCTCTTTCTCCATCTGAATGTGCCATAAAGTAGCCACTGTTTTAAATACCTGTTACTGACAGTTGCTCCTACTTCTCCATACATAGTCACCTGGGACCATTTTTTCCATTCCACAGGAAGTGCCTTTCATATAGTAAAAGCAGTAATTATGTGTGGAGCTTAGAAAGTAGGCTTACTGGAGGAAAAACAGTAAGCGTAGAATTAGCCACATGATGCTGATTAGAAGTTGTATGACTGACATCCTTTGCACTCCTCTGTCCTTTTATAGACCTCAGACTTTACCCTATCCATCAAGGTGGGGACTGTATTTAAATTAACCCCTTTTAAATTAAGAATCTTTCTTTCTGAGCCACTTTCTGTGCTGAAATTTTCTTCAGTCTGCCAATGAGCAGCCTTCACTTTTTATTTCAGTAGCATCCAGTCAATCAACTACCTGACCTAGGAATGTGGCAGTTATGCTGACCAATATATTTGTTCCTTGCAGGAAGCAGAGAACACACTACGCCTGATGCAGAACAGACTGAAGGAGGAGGAAAAACGCTTGCTTAAGACTGGAAGTAAGTTATACAGTATTTCTTAAATGCATGTGCTAGAACAGTGGTGCCCAACTTTTTTCCCTTTGGGCCCAGTGCTCAGTCCATCCGCAGATGGGATCTGGCATGCGTGGTTGTGAGGCAGGCCCCGATCCTGCCATGTGGGAGGTCAGGGAGCAGTCCAGCCCCAATTGGCACTATGGGGGAAAAGGACATGACTTGGCTCCAATCTGGCCCTGCAGAGCTTGAGAATTTGGCATCTAGGGAGGAGTGCCAATATTAATTATCATTGCTCACCTGTCACCAAATTTCCCAACACGTGGGGAGCCCTGTGGGCCAGATGCCATGGCTGTGTAGGCAACATTTGGCTTACAGGTTGCTGGAGGTTGAGCACCCCTGTGCTAGCAGAACAAATTACAAAGTGGCAGATGCTTCATGCATAAAACACTCTTTGCAGCCTTGAAGCTGGTAGGAATAGACGCTAGGTCCTTTTTGGGTCCACACATTATGCTGGAAAAAAGTGACAACTCTATTAGCTTAAAAAGATGGTACTGAAACCAGTGGCCTAATTTATATGACTTATTACTTATAAAGCCTACCTACAGTACGGAGATAAAGAGTAGTCATTAAGCAAACACCCTGTACAACAGCTTGAGATCTGGGTTTCATTCCCAATTCCAATTTGTTATTATCCAAGCTTCTAGGGAGAGGGCATGCTACAGAGGCACACCCTTTAGCTGTCTAAAGGAAAGTAAATTCAGTGACCTAACAAAAAGGTTTGCATTCCAGTTCAGCAGAGAACCTTTATGTGTGTAACTTTAAGTATGTGAGTAATCTCACCAATTTTCAGGACTCCTCGATTAAAGTTATATACCTGCTTATTAATGCACATTAACTAAAGCACATTAATGCAAACGTAGACATGCCCACTGTTATGCTGTGCAGTTTGTTTGTGGCATTGTGTTATATTTAAAGGTACTTGCATAAGAAAACAGTCTTTCATTTAGTACGTCAGGAATGAAAATCTTAGTTTGAAAGTTCAGTTTCGCCTTTCTATAAACAATTTTTAAACTGTGGAACACGCTTTGGTTCCACAACATCTTCCTTAATGTTCATGTGACCACTGGGTACAATTGCATTTTCATTTGGGGCCTGTTTGGTTAACTTTTTACTTTGCATTAAATACAGAATTCAGACTCAGAAGGGAAATGTATACTCCTGGGATTTTGTCAACACTGCTAACAGATTGGATTTCACTAGTGGATTTTCACTACTTCTCTTGAGACATCAGCCAAACTTCCTTGTGTTAATTACCACTGCAAGTTCAGTATTGCAATATGTGCATTTTTATATGGCAGGAAGATATAAATCCTCTGGGTCAGATAGACACAAACTTCATGAAAGATGACATTGGCAGAGAATGATACAGTTGCATTTGATAGCTTCAGTTTGTCTCCAGGTGTTCTACAAGCAGGTAAGAGGGAAAGAGAATTGTTCCACCTTGCCCTCCCCATTTCCTACCTCCATTTGCCTTGGAGCACCGGATGGAGGATGTGCAGTACATATTAGAATAATTTATTATTTTACAGGAATTTTCTTTTAACTACATTATCTGAGTTTCTGCAAAAAAATGAATTCCAGTCTTCTGTCAGTTTCATAGATTTCATAGACATCAGAGCTGGAAGGAACCTCGAAAGATCATCGAGTCCAGCCCCCTGCCCAAAGGGCAGGAAGTCATCTGGGGTCATAGGATCCCAGCAAGATAAGCATCCAATTTACTCTTGAAGGTGTTCAGTGTAGGTGCTTGAACCACCTCCGATGGCAAGCTGTTCCAGACCTTGGGGGCTTGGATAGTAAAGTAATTCTTCCTTATGCCCAGCCTGAAATGGTCTTGCAGTAGTTTATAAACGTTCAACCTTGTCATCCCTTGGGGTGCTCTGGTGAACAAATGTTCCCCCAGATACTGGTGGTCACCCCTGATAAACTTATAGGTGGCCATCAGATCAGCCCTGAGCCCGCGCTTTTCCAAGCTGAAGAGCCTCATAGATCTCAGCCTGTTGTCATAAGGTCTGTTTTCCTGACCTCTGATCATGCGCGTGGCTCTTCTCTGGACTCTCTCAAGCTTCTCCACATCCTTTTTGAATTGTGGAGCCCAAAACTGGACGCAGTACTCTAGCTGCGGCCTCACCAAGGCCGAGTACAAGGGGAGAATGACGTCCCAGGATTTGCTTGAGAAGCATCTATGGATGCAAGCCAGCGTTTTGGTCACTTTACTAGCTACCGCATCGCATTTCAGGCTCGTGTTCATCTTGTGGTCAATGATGACCCCCAAGTCTCTTTCTTCTGTAGTGCTAGCCAGTGTAGCACTGCCGAGCCTATAAGGATGCTGCAGGTTTTTCCTCCCAAGGTGGAGAACCTTGCATTTTTCAGTGTTAAACACCATCAGATTCTCATCCGCCCATTTGCTGAGCCTGTCCAGGTCAGCCTGGATCACCCCCCTGTCTTCTGGCGTGGATGCTTTGCCCCAAAGTTGGTGTCATCGCCGAACTTGGCCAGTCCGCTTCTGACTCCAATGTCCACATCATTAATGAAGATGTTGAACAATATGGGTCCAAGGACAGAGCCTTGGGGGACCCCACTGGTCACAGGACACCATGATTAATACCTTCCAAATTCTTAACTTAATGTGCAAACACAGCCCCTCATGGTATAGTGAAATATTCTTCATTCTCAGTGGGCTTTTTCTTGAAAACCTCTCATAAGTGATTCTTGTATATTCATAATGTTTCCATCTCTGCTTTTAGTAAATGATGTTGTTGGGGCCTTTGGTATTAATAAAGACATATAGTTTTATTGTTATAATGTATCACACTTCAGAAGTTAAAATGTTGCTGTTCTCTAATGGAACTTTTAATAAGTTTGATCTAGTGATGAGAACACAAGTCTGGGAATCAGCAATCTACAAAATAGAAGACAGGGGTAGAAAGGAACTTCAGAAGATAATCTAGTCCAGTCCTTTGAGCAAGTCAGGGTAATCTGCATAGAAACCACCCCATACAAATAATTGTCTAATACAGTGATTCTCAGGGGTGTTCTTGCAACATTGTCACTGTTAGGTATGGAAAAACCTACACGTGAACTCCAAGACTTCAAATAGGGATCCATAATGTTAAAAACATTCTGACCCATTGCAGACTTTCTGAGTTCTTTGCAACAGAAGAATTGCTATTTTCCATAGTCAAAAAATGTATTAAAGCTAAGAGCTGGCAAGGTTCTTTGGGTAGATGTGATGTCTTTTATTAGACTAACTGAGTCCTTGGAAAAAAGTTCTTTGCAAGCTTTCGGGTGCAATCACCCTTCTTCAGGCATAGGAAGTCTCTGCTGTTCTGAGACTCCAAGGAATGAAGGAAGCTAAAAGCGTGACAGGATGTCAGTGAGAATGTAAATAGGTGGAAATTAGGAAAACAGAAAGTAGAGGTGGGGTGGGGGGGGGGGGAACCAAAGGTGAGTAAAGGAACTTGACAGTAGTCTGTCCTAATTCAAGGCTGACTGTGAAAAAGTAGATAGCTTGAAATTAGGAAGACAAAGGGCAGAAAGGGGGCGGGGGAGAGGAGGGGAGGAAGGAGGTGGGGAATGAAAAGTAAGAGGTCAGGCCTGGCAGGTATCTGGTGAATCACATTAAAGCTAAGAGCTGGCGTTTTCCAAGGGGCAACTTGAGGCTGATGAGGTTGAGAACCACAGATCTAATACGTCATTGAAGACATTCAGTAATGAACATTCCAGTGTCTCTCCAGGTAAGTGCTAGGCGTTCCAGTGCTTAATCCCCCTCACAATTACAAAAATCATCCTGATGTCCAACATAAATCTCCCCTGCTGCAATTTAAACCCACTGCTTCTCAACCTGTCTGCTGTTAAGACAGAAGAATTGATCATGATTCTCTTTATAGCAACCTTTTTTAGTTGAAGATGAGGGGAAGGGGTGATTGTTTTAAAATATTCTCTTCTGTAGGTGACATAATTTCAATTTTTCTAATCTTTCATGGTAAATCATATTTTTTAGACTTCTAATATTTTTTGTTGCTTTTTGCTCTCTTTCTCCAATTTGTCCATGGTTTTTTGGTGGTGGGGGAGTGCAGTCACCACGGTGTCCCAGGTGAGCCCTCCTTAGTACTGAATAGAATGGAGGAATTCTTTCCCAGAACTTGCATATGACATGCCTATTAATACTTTCCAGTATGTTGTTAGCCTTTTTTGCAAAAATGGTACATTATTCACTCAAATTTAGCTTGTGCTCCACTATGATTCTTAGGTCCTTTTCTGAATTACTATAGCCTGGCCAGTTGTTCCCCATTGTGTCTTTATTTATGCATTTGATTGTTCCTTCCTATGTGTAGTACTTCACGCTTATCCTTACCTGAATTTCATTCAATTTATCAAGGTCATTTTGAATCCTAATCCTGTCCTCTAAAATATATGCAACCCCATCCAGCCTGATGACATCCACAAATTTACCAGGCGTACACTCAAGTCTACCCTCCAAGTCATTAATTAAAATACTGACTGGTAGAGAACCCAAGACAGACTCTGGGAAATGCTGCTAAATACTTCCTCCCAGTTTGTCCTTGACCTATTTTTTTAAGCTATGGTCATCTTAAAAGAAAAGACCAAAGCCTTTGAGTATGTTAACCGTGGGGCTCTATGGAAGATCTTATCAAAGTTTGGCTGCCCAGGGAAATTTATCACCATCCTAAGATGCCTTTGTGATCAGATGACTGTGAAGAAATCCCGCTTTTTCTAGCCCTGCATTGGGTCATTCCAGCTGTACTCCTCTCTCTTTCACTTGCTTGCTGGTCCTGGCTGGTTGGCCAGATGACTTGGCCAAATAAATTCCTGAGGAGAGGGAGAAGAACTCTTCTCCTGGATTCTTCCTGGATGAATCACTGTAAGTCAGACCTGGAAACTAGCTAGTAGTTTAGAACTCAGTAATGTCGCATCCTAAAAGGGTCACTGAACCCAATATCTAT